TAGGCTTATAGCTGCCAAGAATGATTTAACTGCTTAAATGTAATCGTTATTTGCTTAGTAACTATTACCAGGGATGGGAGGGGTAGAGGGAGGAATGGGGGGGAGAAAGGGAGGGCTAGAGGGGAAAGGGGGGGGGGTGAGGCTTAACTGCAAAATGTATAAAAGAAGAAAAGCTGTTTCTGTTAGTGTGCTTGATCTGAGACGTGCCAGTCTCCTTGCACCGCTTTGAGATCTCAAATAAACTTTGTTTGCTTCTCCCCCTGGTGTGTTTATTGGCGCGAAGCACACCGGGCAACGAACCCGCTGTTGCTGTCCTCAGGCACACCTGTGCTGGCAACAGGGTTACACCTTGTCTGAAGTGTAACTCAGGTATATCTCTTGGGTTTGTCTATTAATGAGCTAGGGTACACAGAGATCAGACTGAATGTGGATTACAGTCATGCCACAAAGCACAAATAACACGGTGCAGCCTTAGGGCCGGCTTTAGGCCGATTCGGCCGATTCCCCTGAATGGGGCCCCGCGCCTAGAGGGCCCCGCGCAGCGCTCCACCCCGCCCCCGGCCCACTTACCCCTCCTCCCCTGAACGCTCCGCCCACCTTCTCCTCCCCCTCCCCTGCTTCCCACGAATCAGATGTTCGTGGGAAGCCTGAAACAAGCAGCAGGCAGGAGGTAAGCCGGAGGGGGGGATGCGAGGAGAGTTCCAGGGAGGCTCAGTGAGGCCCAGTCCGGCCCTGGCCGAGCGTGTGGCTCTCTCTGGCCTGGCCCCCCGGCCGAACACCCCCAGCCCAGTCCCGGCCGAGTGGCTCTGGCCCGGCCCGGCGGCGCCGGTCTCGGTCCCGGCTGAGCAGCTCCGGCCCGGATCTGGACCCAGAACCGGCTGAGCGGCTCCGGCCTGGCTCGGGACCCGCGGTGCCGGCCCTGGCCAAGTGGCGCCGGCCCGGCCCGAGAGGTTCTGGCCCATCCCCGTCCCGTCTGCTTGGAATGCAGGAGCTGGAGGTACCTTGTGTCAATACTGAGCCAGTGGGGCGCTCTGCTGCTGGACCACCTGCCGGAGGAGCCGTAAAACTGAGATCCCAATCAGGGGTCGTTGCTGAAGATCCCACACCACTTTTTGCCAGAATTGGGGGTTACCCCCACTCTCCTGGCTAAATTTCTAGGTAGGAGATGAATCAAGGGTGGGCAAAGCAGAAGATGAGGTAGAGAACAAGGGAGGGAGGAAACAGGTGGGACCAGAGAACAA